TTTGTACTCATCAGTTATATCACAGGAGAATATTCCTTCCAAAAAAACTTATCAGTAAAAGAATTCCTGAAAAAGAAGTGCAAAGTATCAAAGAGTCTGTATAGTAGCATGAAAGTGGTTAATAGTTGTTAACAGTAAGAAATTTATCTTGAGGCGCTCCCAAGCAGTGCTGGGGCCCAGCAATGCTGAGGGCCCCTCGAATCACACCTAGCAGTGCTCAGGGAATCATTGTGCGGAGGACTGATCTCAAGCCTGCACCCCTGCCCATCTCTGCATGCCAAGCTTGTACTCTAGTCCTTTGAGCAATCTCCTTAGCCGAACAAGAAATCATCCAGGGCTGGAGAGAGAGTACAGTGGGTAGGGCAACTGCCTTGCATGTGGCTGACCAGGGTCTGATTCCTGGCATTCTGTATAGTGCCCTGAGCTTGCCAGGGATGATCCCTGAGCATAGAACCAAGAGTAAGCCCTGAGCACTGCTGAGTATGGCCCAAATAACAGTTAAAATTTTTTTGTCATCAGTTTAATTAGTATTTTATATGTATCTACAATTAATCATTTATTAAATACAATGCAAATTAGTTTCAAATTAAGGAACAATATCTCAATAAATGTCCAAACTCTTTACAAATTCTGTATAATAGAGAGTCTTCAAATCATGATTATAAAATACAGGTTTAAGGCTTTTTAACCACTGGTAGTGTGTTAAAGGAAGAGGGCAGAAAAGAAATTTTCTGCTCATTTGCCAGGATTCAAGGTATTATAATGCTGAGAAAGTTTTAAATAACAATTGAAAAGCTGAAATAAAAACTTCTCACCATAAATCAGCTACCCACTAAATAAAATATTCTATAGTTCTTAAAACATGAATGATAAATATGTAACAATTTAAATAAAAAGTAGGTTGGATAGGAATGTAGCTCAGTGGTAGATCCTACTCCATGAATGGACGAGCTCTTACTTCAATCTCCATTACTGAAAAATACATAATTAATTCACATTTTTAGGAGGCCTTCTGAGTGGTAATCAGGAGGTCTGGGGACCTAACTGGCAATTCTCAGAGAACCAGGCTAGTAGTTCAGTGCAAAGATATGCGGGTGTGATACTGTTCAAACCCTGAAGTGTTGGGGGCCTCAGGAGACCATGTGGAGCTGGGAATTTAACCTAACTGCTCACAGTACTATCTCCAAACCCAACTTAGTGCAAAATTAAAAGGAAAGTATAAAAAAGGAAGTTTTAGTAATTATTTTTCAGGAGATCTTGAGCCATAACCAGCTGAGCTCAAGATCACTCCCGATGGTGCAACAGGGATCTTAAGTGTGCCAGCATCTAACCAGGGTGAGCCCAATGTAAGGCAAGTGTCTTCAGACACTATTTCCCAAGGCCCTCGTAATTACCAGTCTTGTCCCCTACTCAGTTCCTCTATATTACTATAGGTGGCTTTCTTCTATAAGTAGTTACGGGAATATATGCAAAAATGTATTCTTTTTATGTGGGGAAGGTAGCGGGAGCTGGGACCACATCCAGCAGTACTTAGGGGTGACTCCTGACTCTGAGCTTGGTGGCCCTTATGCAGCACTGGGGACTGCAGATGCCCTGCCCAGTGTACTATTGCTTTGGCCCCACCCCTGAACTATCTTTATGGCTCATCATTTTAAAAATACAAAAGATAGCACATTGTTTGCACTTTTTTTTTGCACATTCCTTTTTTTACTTGGTAACAGATTTTGGAGATAATCCTAAATTACTATCTGTAGGTATGCTTTATTCTATTTCATCATATGACTAATACAGTTTAACTGATACTCCTGAATATTCAAGTTGTCTGAAATCTTTTGTTGATGGCAAAAAAAAAAAAAAGAAATCCAGAAATCTTATTGCTGCACACTCACATGTGCAGATATGTCTTTGCAGGGCAAATTCATAGGTAATGGAGTAAAATTAATATTAAAGAAAATATTCATTATTAAATTTTGGGGCTGGAGCGATAGCACAGCGGTAGGGCGTTTGCCTTGCACGCAGCCAACATGGCCGACCCGAGTTTGATTCCTCTACCCCTCTCGGAGAGCCCGGCAAGCTACCAAGAGTATCTTGCCCCCACAGCAGAGCCTGGCAAACTACCCGTGACGTATTCGATATGCTAAACACAGTAACAACAAAGTCTCCAATGGAGACGTTACTGGGCCCGCTCGAGCAAATCCATGAACAACGGGAGAACAGTGACAGTGACAGTGACAGTGATTAAATTTTGACAGTCATTTTTGGGTTTTGGAATACACCTGGAGGTGGTCAGGGGCGACATCTGGCTCTGAGCTCAGGGGCCAAAGCTGGATGTGGCAGGATTCAAACCAGGGTTGTGGTCACAATCGCTTTGCTAGGCAAGTGCCTTAACATTTATACTATTTCTCCAGCTATTTTGACAGATTATTTTGTCAAAACCCCCAGAAAGACAAGATATGCAAATTTCTCTGTACCTTCACAAAAGTATATCATCAAACTAATCTTTGCTGTTCTGACAGGTGTTTTACTATATGTAAATATATATATAAATATATGCCATACATATATATCTCACTCACTACAGTGAACATTATCCTCACTGTAAGTTACGGGGTCATATATTTTCATTCCTGAGAATTGGAGAAAGCTTTCACTCACTCACTCATTTGCAGTACTGGGGATGGAATGCAGGGACTCACTCTTTCAGTGAGCCATAGATTCTGACCTGAAAACATTCTCTGTAGTACTGTAGCACTGTCCTCCTGTTGTTCATCAATTTGCTCGAGTGGGCACCAGTAACATCTCCATTGTGAGACTTGTTACTATGTTTGGCATAATGAATATGCCATGGGGAGCTTGCCAGGCTCTGCCGGGCAGGCAGGATACTCTTGGTAGCTTGCCGGGCTCTCTGAGAGGGATAAAGAAATCAAACCCAGGCCGCCTGCATGCAAGGCAAATGCCCTATCTGCTGTGTAATCAAAATAACACACCCTCAAAATGGAAAACACCTTCAAAATAGAAAAATTCTAGTCTTTACAGAACAATCTAGCATACTTTGGAGGGTACTTCTTTTTTTTTTTTTTAATTAGTGAAACACCATGAGGTACAGTTATAGACTTACAAATTTTTGTGCTTGGGTTTCAGTTATACAATGATCGAGTACCCATTCCTCCACCAGCACCCATTCTCCACCACCACAAGTCCCAGCATCCCTCCCACCTCCCATCCCCCCCATGGTGGGTACTGATTTTGAACAAATAAAGTTTAATTTAGGAAAATAACTTTTTAGAAAAATAATCACTTCCATTAATGGTCACTGGAAAAGGAAATCCTGTGTTTATACAGAAAGAATTGAAAAAGAGACTATCAAAATGAAAGCATCAAAGTTGTAAATTTTTATCCTTCCCATACCTCTTTTCTCACAGCATTTGTGAGCTCTGGCTTGCATTCTACTAATTTCTATTATTGTTATTGATTTTGGGCCACTCCTGGAAGTGCTCAGGGCTTACTCCTAGTTAAGCTCAGAGATTACTTCTGGTGGGCCGAGGAGACCTATGGGATGCCAGGGACTGCAGCTGTATTGGATGTGTGGAGGGCAAGAACTCTACCTACTGTACTATCCCTCTGGACTCACTGATTTCGATTTTTGTAATAGTTATTACTCTTCCCTTTCTAGGGAACCTCACTATGTTAAGTTAAAGAAAACCTTTCTCTAAAACCTAACTTTCTCTAAAAGTAAATGAACAAGTCCATTTACAACTTGGGCATAAACTCTTAGAAACTGAATACAATTGTTTTACATATACAATATATATAGACACATATATGTATATACACAGAGATACATATTACATGAACATGTATGTGTCTGTGTAAAGATCTACTTGTTTTTATTTGTTCATATATTCCATCTTCTAATCTAAACCCTGAGATTCTCACTTATTTATTGTGCAATTTTATCAAACAAAAATCTGCTTGATAATCAAAACAGCCTTATTTACCATTAGATACCATGCTGTGCTACTACTTTGCTCTCTAAGTTTTTATTTTCTACATATCAAACTAACCTTATTCTGCTGTCTTAATTTCACTGTAATTTCTGCTAGATGGATTGACTTACTCAGAGAAGTTAGCTTTACTTGTCACGGATTGAAGTCATGTTTGCCTGTACATGCAAAGATAGAGTTTAGGCAAATTGCAATCAGGATTTCCTGTTAAATAGCAGATGATGCCTGAGCTCTGAAACTGGACTGTCAGGGTTTAAATCTGGCCTCCATTACTTCCATTACTTAATTGTTTTGTCATTTTGGTAAGCTGAGTAACATCTCTGACAACACTTTGTTATATATAAAATGGGAACTGAAATAATTCCAAACTGACAGGGTTTCTATGAAGATTAACCAAAACACTTCAGGTAAGTACGTAAAGTAAAGGCCCTTCCGTTGATCATCGATTTGCTCGAGCGGGCCCAGTAACGTCTCCATTGGAGACTTTGTTGCTACTGTGTTTGGAATATCGAATACCTCACAGGGAGCTTGCCAGGCTCTGCCGTGCAGGCGAGATACTCTTGGTAGCTTGCTGGGCTCTCCGAGAGGGGCGGAGGAATCAAACTCGGGTCTAGGTCAAAGATTTTTGGGGGTGGGGGTGTGGGTTAGGTTATGGAACACCCTGGCACCAAATGCTTTTCCCCACCAGAATTTCTGGGGATGATCCCAGTGGTCCTTGAGAACTGAATAGCACTAGGAACAGCCCCACAGCAGAAACATCAACAAAAAAACTAGTTTGGTTTTTTTTTAGAAACAAAAACAAAGGTTCATATAACCTCTCTTTTAAAGCTTGATTAATTTCCTCCTTTTATTTTACACAGTAACTACTTTTCTAACCCATATGATCATAGCTTAAACCAAACTATCACCTATAATTCAATATGAACTCAAAACAATTAACAAATAGACATGGGTTTATAACAAAAGTTATTTATATTTAAACATGTAAGAACTTACCTCTTAATACCCAAAGGGCACCATCTAGGCTTCCACTTTTTAGGAAAATTTCTGCTGCAATATTCACAATTTGACATCGTGATGCTAACTTCTCAGGCCCTATAAGTCCTTTCAAACTTGTAAAATGTATTTTTAATTCGTAGAGTTTATCTAAGACCTTCCTTCCCTAGAGAAAAAATAATGAACAGTCATTAAGTACTATCATTTAGAGCATTATAAAGATCATCCACCTAAGCTGATGGGTGTTAAGTTGCTGAACTAATTTACATTTTGTTCAAAATTTTAAAAAGTCACATTTTATACCAAGTCAAAAGAATGGTTAATGAAGTACCTTGGACCACTGCAACACCTTGTGATGGAAGTATATAGCACTGATTCCAATTCTGCCCAGTAAAGTCTTATCTACTTCACTGTGTTGTGGATCTTTGCTAACTGAAACACAAAATGAACGTCACTTAAAATGATAGAAAAGTAAAATTAATATGAAATTGCTGATATGACCACAATGGGCAGCTGTTGGAAAAATCATAATCCATAGGTCAAATCTAACCTGTACTGTTTCACATAGGCTGAGAGTTAAGAATGATCATTCTATTCTAAAGCAATGTTTGGAAAAAAAATTATTTTTTACAGATTTGTGACCTATGCAAAACCTAGAACAATTTCTATCTGATCCTTTACAGAAAGTGTGTTGGCCCAATAGAGAATATAGCATAGAAGTACTCATGTCCAAAAAGTCTCAAAGGTATATAAATTTTGCTAGCTTGTAACAGAGAAGATAGTAACAACTTTAAAAACTCAAAGATTCAGATGTTCCCTTATAAATTGCTAGTCAACAGCAATAACAATTTGAATGAAAAGAACATGAAGCATTAATATTAAAAACCCATTTTGACCTCTAAATCACACAATCACAAATCATCCTGTTATTCGTCGATTGCCTCGAGCAGGCCCCAGTAACGTCTCCTTCATCCTAGCCCTGAGATTATATTCAACCCAGTCAGTTTGGAATTATATTTGACCTCTAATCATTAATAAACTTAAAATAGTTTAAAAATTGTAACAATAGATTAAAAATTATAACATATAAACTTCTAAAAACTACTATGTTAACAATGTAACAACTATTAAAAGCTTTATATTCAGGGCTGGAGCAATAGCACAGGTAGGGCGTTTGCCTTGCATGCAGTCGACCCATGTTCGATTCCCAGCATCCCATATGGTCCCCTGAGCACTGCCAGGAGTAATTCCTGAGTGCATAATCCAGGAATAACCCCTGAGCATTGCCGGATGTGACCCAAAAAACAACCCCCTCAAAAAAAAAAAAAACTTTATATTCCTGTTAAAAACATAATCTCGTATCAATGCTATATAAATATATGCCTCTCCCCAGGAGGGAAAGGGTGCCTGTCCCTTCCGTCTTCCCCCCTCTCACCCACCCTACACCCCGCCAGCATGGTGGCCTCTCCCTCAGAGCCTATTAGACAGCTGGGTATGAGCCGGCGGTGATGGGGCAACTGTGGCCTCATGGGATGGGGGGCAGAACTGGCACGTCCTTCCCACCCTGCCGAACCATGAGTTGCCCCACGTCCCATGGGCGGCTCTCCAGCATGCCCACGGCCCCAGAGACAAACAGGCATAATTAGGAACCCAGCAGCTTTTAGCAGAAATGTGAATGGACTATGCAGTAAGCTACAGCACCGCGCCCCCCCACCCCCAGGAGGGAAAGTGTTCCTGGCACAGTGGCTGCCGCCTCAGAGCCTATTGGACAGCTAGGTATGAGCCAGTGGTGACAGGGCAACTGTGGCCTAAAGGGATGTGGGAGCAGAACTGGCACGTCCTTTCCACCCTGCAGAGACCACGAGTTGCCTCCCACGAGTGGCTCTCCGGCACGGCCATGGCCCCAGAGGCACACAAACCAATCTTGGAACTATAAGGCTTTGGGCAGAATTCCCTCCAGATTTAATTAGTAAAATATCAGAAACCCAAAATCATATGCTTCTCATAACCAGCAATAGAAAACAAATTATTTCACGATGCCTTTTCAACAGGTCTGACTGTTAGGGGAAAATTCCAAATAATAATGGTGCATTTCTTGTCAAAATAAAAAATAAAATAAATAAAATTAATATATGCCTCTCAGAGAGCCCGGCAAGCTACGGAGAGGATTCGGCCTGCATGGGCAGAGCCTGGCAAGCTCCCCATGGCGTATTTGGTATGAGAGATACAGTAACGACAAAAGGTCTCATTCTCCCGACCCTCAAAGAGCCTCCAATTGTTGGAAAAAGACGAGTTAGAAGAGTCTGCTAAAATCTCAGGGCTGGGAGGAATAGAGATGTTACTGGTGCCTGTTCAAGTAAATCTAAGAACAATGGGATGACAGTGATACAGTGATACATATCAATGCACAAAATTCAGACTGACAAAATGACATTTTACCTGCTTCAGCAAATTCACAGAATGGAACACCTGGTCTCTCTTCTTTGCAATCTTTTGTTAGTATTTCAGTCAAACAAACACAAAATCTCTGGAAATCTGCAAAGTTTTCACAGCCCATTTTTACATTAATGTATAAATGTCCCAACTTGGTCCAGTCTCCTTTTTCTTTACAAAGCTATCAGAATTATTAAAAACAAAACAGAAAAAGAAGGCTGTTATTTAGGTAAACATATTATGTAAGTAGTTATGTAAGTCAGTCTCTGAAAATCTTGTAAATGTACTGTCATTTTTTACAATATCAATAACACACTACTGTATAATTTGTTTTTCTGATAATAGCAAAACCTCTATCATTTCAAGATGGCAATAGACATCTGTTTTATCTACTTCCGAGTGTACTTAATGATATCACTCCTAAACCTAAGAAAATGTATATTTTGTGTAGAACAGATGATTAGCAGTATGGTCTCTCTTCTTTGCAATCTTTTGTTAGTATTTCAGTCAAACAAACACAAAATCTCTGGAAATCTGCAAAGTTTTTACAGCCCATTTTTACATTAATGTATAAATGTCCCAACTTGGTCCAGTCTCCTTTTTCTGATAATAGCAAAACCTCTATCATTTCAAGATGGCAATATACATCTGTTTTATCTACTTCTGAGTGTACTTAATGATGTCACTCCTAAGCCTAAGAAAATGTAGATTTTGTGTAGAACAGACGATTAGCAGTATGGTTTGAGCTCTTTCCAGAGCAATATATTATTTTATTACTTTGGAGATTTTATTTTACTGTCATTTGGCCATTTATGATTTGGGGTCATTTGAAATGTATCTTTTTAGCCATGATATTTTTCCCTAAAAAGGGAGCTACTAAAAATAAACTTGAGTAAACTTTCTAACTTCCTATTATTTTCTATTATAAGCCAAGTAATGGTTTTATCCACAAACAAAAACACTGTTTCAAGGATATAAATACTGATTATAGACTAGAATTACAATTATTAGATGAGTACAAATGATCTTAAATTAAAAAATAAAATTATCCTGAAAGTTTTCTAGTTCTTACATTCTAATTTTGGAGCATGCAATGTCCACAGTCATTTCATATACTAGAGGCATCAACGGGTGAGAAGAAACCCAATTCTCCTGTTCACTGAGTGACCCCATTCCACACAAGAATTAAATGCTAACTTAAACACACACACACACACACACACACACACACACACACACATACACACACGAGACTAGGATCAGGGAGGTATCTCAAAGGGTTGAGCACGTGCTTTGCACACATGAGATCCAGACTCAATCCCTGGTATTACCATTTGAACACTGTCTGGAGAGAACCTGGGTACCAAACCGGAAGTAGCCCCCTGAGTTTTGCCAGGGTAGCTTAAATCCTTCTCCCTGCCAATTAAAGCAATCTAGATTTTTATGCCTTAACACTGAATATAATTTTGAGGTTAAAAATTATTTCTAGAATTATTTCTTGAATAGTTCACAAATCTTGTTCGCATTTTTTGATGATTAAAATATTAAAATTTAATATTTATTTTTAAATTTTTATTAGTGAAACACCATGAGGTACAGTTGTTGACTTACAAATTTTTGTGCTTGGGTTTCAGTTATACAACGATCGAATACCCATTCCTCGACCAGTGCCAATTCTCCACCACCAAAGATCCTAGTATCCCTCCCACCTCTCTATTCCCACCATTCCACTCCACCTCTGTGGCAGGGCATTCCCTTTTGTTCTCTCTCTTCTTTTGGGTGCTGTAGTTTGCAAAAGAGGCACTGAGTGGCAATCATGTTTGGTCTAGCGTCTACTTTCAGCATGCATCTCCCATCCTGGGAGGATCCTCCCAACACCCTTTACTTGGTGCTCCCTACTATATCTGGGCTGCCTTTCCCCCTACCACGTATGGTTGGCCTCCAAGTCATGAAGTAAACCTCCTGGTACTTATCTTGGCTATTCTTGGGTGTTCGTCTTCTATTTTGTTACTTTATGTTCCTCAGATGAATGCAATCTTTCTATATCTGTCCCTCTCTTTCTGACTCATTTCGCTTAGCATGATACTTTCCATGTAGTGCCACTTGTATGTGAATTTTATGACTTCATCTTTTCTAACAACTACATAGTACTCCATTGTGTAGATGTACCCAAGTTTCTTTAACCAGTCATATGTTCTCAGGCACTCAGGTATTTTTCCAGATTCTGGCTATTGTAAACAGTGCTGCAGTGAACAAACAAGTGCAGATGTCACTTTGACTATACTTTTTTGCCTCTCTGGGATATATTCCCAGGAGTGGTATTGCTGGGTCAAATGGGGGCTCAATTTCTAATTTTTTGAGAATTGTCCATACTGTTTTCCAAAAGTGCTAAACCAGTCGGCATTCCCACCAGCAGTGAAGGAGGGTCCCTTTCTCGCCACATCCATGCCAAGAGTGGTTGCTTTTGTTCTTTTGGATGCTTTGTTCACATTTTAAAGTAGGAACTTGGTGACTTGTTAAAAACTAAAACCCAAATTCTCTCCTTTGAGCATTTCTGATTAACACTCACATTTCTAAAACTTTTTCCAAACTAGGTTTACCAGTCTAAGTTTTTGCTATGAGTTTCCAACATTTTATTTAAATGTAAATAGTGTCCTACCTCTATTTCATTCAAGGCTGATTCTAAATCACATTTCCAGGTCTTCTTAAATTGCCTCATCTGTAGCCTTTAACAACATAAAAAAAGTTAATCATATTTACCCCACAAAAAGTTACTACTCTTCTAATTCATTTGTTTCACAGTTTACACCTAAAATACTAGAGGTAAAAAAAACTCCACCTGAAATTCCACTTGAAACTCAATCGAAGGCAGAGAATGACAAAGCTTTAAGATAATTGTGAACATGAACAAACACATTAAACCTTCAGGCTCTTGCACTAAACCAATGGCCTTGTTACCAAGAATTGCTGGTAGGGCTCACAGGCCTCTTGAGCAATACTTGGGAACTGCCCCCCCCCCCCCCCCCGCTTCAAAGAACTCAAAATTTATTAAACAAAGTAGAAAAATGGGGTAAGTACATGAACAGACAATCTACTACAGTATGGCCCTCAAATATATGTAAAAAATAAGTTTTCATAATGAAAGAAATACACCATGGAAGCATCATTTGTTATCTAGTAGGAGAAGATTAAAAAGTACAACACATTATGTTCATAAAGTTGTACTGAAATAAAGAAAGTTCATATATTTCTAGGCTGGAGCAATAGCACAGCAGGTAGGGTGTTTGCCTTGCACGCGGCCAACCCAGCCGACCCAAGTACGATTCCTCTGGCCCTCTTGGAGAGCCAGGTAAGCTACCAAGAGTATCTCGCTCGCATGGCAAAGCCTGGCAAGCTCCCCATGACGTATTCGATATGCCAAACACAGTAACAACAAGTCTCACAATGGAGACATTACTGGTGCCCGCTCAAGCAAATTGATGAACAACAGGAGGATAATGCTACAGTGCTACATATATTTCTGGTTAGAATACAAATGTTACACTTTTCTTGAGTAATATTTGGCAATATCAAATACAACATTTTTTTCTTACAATTTCATTATGAAATGATTTTTAATTTTCAGGTATTTTTAAAACCAATACTGACCTGGGTACCTTTTACCCAGCTTCCTTCAATAATGACTCAGTTTAGTACAGTATCAATTTCAGAAATTTACATTGGTAAGGCAGTTATCTACAATGAAGGTCTTACTTCATTTTCACCACTGTTCACTCACATCGTTTGTATGTATTTTTATCCTATGTATAGATTACTAGCATCACCATACAGAAGATACAGAACAGTTCCATGATCACTAAGGAACTTCTTCATGCAATCCCTTTAACTCATCACTCATCCATTATTCTGTCAGCCACTAATCAGATATTCACTCAAAGGAGTTATCTCATCTTGAGAATATTACATAAGTGGAACTGTGCAGCAGGTGGCTTTTTTAAGACTGGCTTATAAAATTCAGCGCAGTTCCTTTGACATCAATTCAACTTGTCTCATGTTTTAATCATCTGCTCATTTTTATATGAACAATACAGTTTTTACTTCACTAAAAAAATTCATTTTTTTTATAGTTATGGCTAAGTAAATCTCTTTTAAATAGAAACATATATACATAACAGAATTTTGCACAAGCAGAATTTCAAGACAGTTGGTTTGTATACATACTGCAATGAGTTAGAACAGAATTTGTCCAGAAGTTTCTACTGGAGAAATTGAGCCTCCTTTTAAAAGATCAGGGAGGGGTGAAGACAAGAGCCTGACCAAGAAACATCCCTCCCAACACTCCCCCTACCCCCAGGTGTTGGGATTTGGAGTCGCTTCCTACTCTGCCCAGATCCAAGGCATACATCTGGAGCTTCAAGTAAATGTCAAAGTTTGCTGAGGTCCACTGCTGATAGCAGGGCAAAAAGGAGGAAATGGGAGCCCCACAGGGCACCCTTTGGTTTACAAAGGTGCCACAGGCCACTGGACTGTGGAAAAAGGATATGAAGGAATAGGTTCTTAGACCAGTGAAGAAACAGAGACAAGGTAGTTTTTCAGGGAATGCTTCTTTCTGGCCAGCAAGACAATGGCTGGGTAATTGTCGGAGGATCTTTATGATGGGTACCTGAGAGGCCTAGAGATCTGGAGCAACCAGGGTCAGACCCCAACCCTTCTGTTTTCTGTTAGCATGAGCTTCAGCAGAGAAGTCAGAGGCACCTGACTTCTCCTCAGAAGATAGGAATAATATCCTTTGGCATGATCAAAGCTCAACTACTACTTCAACTATTGAAGAACATGCTGTTTTTTTTTCCAGTTCTTGGCTACTGTAATTGAAGCTGCTATGAATATTTATGCACTAAGTTTAATGCAAACAAAGACTTCTCTAGGAAAAATGGCCAATAGGTCAAAAGATGCAGCTGGCATTTGCACATTTAGTTTTCACTTGTTTTTGGCTTCTGGATTATACCAGTGTTAGGAGACTACTACCTGGTGCCAGGGATTCAAACTGGGATTGGTGAGACATAAGGCAAGCACTTTAAACCATGGACTACCTCTCAGGCCTCATCAGTTTTTTTCTTTTTTTAAAATAGAATCACTGTGAGATACGAGTTCAAAACTGTTCATGTTTGGGTTTCATTCAGTGTTCCATCACCCATCCCTTCACCAGTGTACATTTCCTACCACCAATGTCCCCAGTTTTCTTTTTCCTTTCTGCCACCCTCCTCCGAGCCTGTTTCTATGCTCTCTCCTCCCTCCCCGCCCTTCCCCCTTCTCCTTTCTTACCCCCCCTCCCCCTTTTATGGACATTATGATTTGCAATACAGATAGAGAGGTTATCCTGTTTGTTCCTTTACCTATTTTCAGCATGCAGTTTTTATCCAGAGTGATCATTTCCAACTATCTTTGTCATAGTGGCCAACTGCCTTTTCCCCTAGCACTCGAGGCAGGTGCACCAATTGTCCTGGCCCTTGTTCCTTAAGGTACATGAAGAAAATGGGCAGAACCCTCCATAATATTGAAGGTAAAGGAATCTTTGAGGATGAAACACTGCTGACCAAGCAAGTGGAAACAAAGCTAAACAAATGGGACTACATTAAAATAAGAAGCTTCTGCACCTCAAAAAGAAATGGTGGCCATGATACAAAGAAAGCTCACAGACTGGGAAAATTATTTATGCAATACCCATCTGATAAAAGGTTAATATCCAAGATATATAAGGCACTGGCAGAATTTTATGAGAAAAAAACCATCCAACCCCATGAAAAAATGGGGAGATGAAGTGAGCAGAAACTTTCTCAAAGAAGAAATACAAATGGTCAAAAGGCACACAAAAAATGCTCCATACCACTTAATCATCAGGGAGATGCCAATCAAAAAAACAATGAGATATTATTTCACACCACAAAGACTGGCACACATCTAAAAGAACAAGAGCAACCAATGCTGGTGTGAATGCGGGAATAAAGGAACTCCTTTTCATTGTTGGTGGGAATTTCTTTTTGGAAAACAATATGGGCATTCATCAAAAGGCTAGAAATTGAACTTCCCTACAACCCAGCAATACCACTCCTGGGAATATACCCTAAGAGCTCAAAAACACACAGCAGAAATGCTATCTGTACTTCTATGTTCACTGCAACACTATTCACAATAGCCAGAATCTGGAAACAACCCAAGTGCCTGGGAACAGATGACTGATTAAAGAAACTATGTCACATATATGTTACAATGGAATACTATGCAGCTGTTATGATATCTTTGCTATCAGTCTTTATCTATCATGTGCAAGCATTTTTTTATTGCTCTTGAGTCACACCGGGCTGTGCACAGAGCTTACTCCTGGCAGTACTCTGGTGATGTGGAGCTGTGAATTGAATCAGGATCAGTTACTTGCAAGGCAAGCCCCGAATTCCCTGCACTGTCTTCCTAGGCCTGGTATGCAAACATTTTTCCCTGTCTTAGCTTTAGCCTGAGTTTTTTGTCATGCAAAAACCTTTCAGTTTGACAGAGTTCCATTTGTTAATTTTGTTGCTGTTGTTTTCTTTGTCAAAGAAGTGAGATTGTCTAAGGAAAGAGGTCAATGAAGACTCTGAGGGCTAGATGCTAGAGAGTTCTGCCTATGATTCCCTTAACATATTTTATGGATTGTGGTACAACCTCAAGGTCGTTAGTCCACTCTAAGTTTTCTGTATGGTGTGACATATAGATCCCATTTCATTTATTTTCTTTGCATGTGACTACCTAGGGCTAGAGCAATAGCACAGCAGGTAGGGTGTTTGCCTTGCATGCGGCTGGGGCCAACACGGCTGACTCGAGTTCGATTCCTCCGCCCCCTCTGAGAGCCCGGCAAGCTACCAAGAGTATCTTGCCCGCACAGTAAAGCCTGGCAAGCTACCCGTGATCTATTCAATATGCCAAACACAGTAACAAGTCTCGCAGTATTATTGGGCCCACTTGAACAAATCGATGAACAATGGGAGGACAGTGACAGTGTGACTACCTAGTTACCCCAAGATCATTTGTGGAAGAGGCTTTCTTATTCCACTTCATGAACCCAGTTTCATTGTCAAAAATTAGCTGTCCATGTATCTGAGTGTTTTGTTTTTGGGTCTCAATTCTATTACATTTGTTTGAGTCTGTTTATATTTCAGTAACAAATCATTCCATAAATCTAAAGTACAATGCAGCTTTATGGTGATTTAAAATCAGGGATTGCCTGCTGGAGGGGAAATGGTGTTGCCCCATTCGCCCTCTCCTCTCTGGAAAGAAAGATGGCAGCCACATGGGAGCCTTGTGGACAGCAGGCATGAGCCGGGGGTGTGGGGGCAACTAAAACCTCATGGGAAGGGGGGCATTCCGGTCCGTCCTTCACACCCTACCGAGGTCACCAGTTGCCCCCCACGAATGGCTCTCCAGCACGGCCACAGCCCCAGAAGCACAAGGACTTAATGCAGAACCCAGCAGCTTGGAGCAGAAAAGTGAAAGACTATGCGTTAATCCAGGCCATCATGTCTGCCCGGAGGGGAAAGGGTGTTGGTCCCTTCCGCCCTCCTCCCTCTGTAAAGAAAGGTGGCGGCCACATGGGAGCCTTGTGGACAGCAGGTATGAGCCGGGGGTGTGGGGGCGACTAAAACCTCATGGGAAGGGGGGCGTTCCGGTCCGTCCTTCACGCCCTACCAAGGTCACCAGTTGCCCCCCGCGAGCGGCTCTCCAGCACGGCCACAGTCCCAGAAGCACAGGGACTTAATGCAGAACCCGGCAGCTTGGAGCAGAAAAGTGAAAGGACTATGCGTTAATCCAGGCCATCATGTCTGTCCGGAGGGGAAAGGGTGTTGCCCCAGTCGCCTTCTCCTCTCTGGAAAGAAAGATGGTGGCCGCATGGGAGCCTTGTGGACAGCAGGTATGAGCCGGGGGAGTGGGGGCGACTAAAACCTCATGGGAAGGGGGCGTTTCGGTCCGCCCTTCACACCCTACCGAGGCCACCAGTTGCCCCCCACTAGCGGCTCTCCAGCACGGCCACGACTCCAGAGCATAGAAACCAATTTCTTAACTATCTGACTTTCAGTATAAATACTTCCAGGGTCAATAAGTAAAATAGCAGAAATCCAAAACCAACATTTAATTCTTGAACCCAGCTGTAGAAAGCAAATCACATCATAATGCTTTTTCAGCATGTCTGATTTGGGGGGGGGGGTAAACTCTAAATAATAGTGGTGAATCTTTTATTGAAACGATGAATCTAATCAAAACAGATAGAGTGTTAACTAGAATTCATCTGCCCCACAGGGACTGGGAGGGGTGGGGGGTGGGGTTTTATTGGGGTTCTTCATGGTAAAAAAAAAAAAAGTATTGGTAAAGGGAAATGTGTTTGATATTTGCATGACTGAGACCTAAACCTGAAAGCTTTGTAACCTTTCCCAAGGTGATTCAATAAATAAAAAAAAATAAAATAAAATAAAATATCAAAAAAAAAAAGTAAAGAATAAACTTTCTCCTTTAAGTTTAAAAAAAAAATAAAATAAAATCAGGGATTGCGATATCTCCCATCTCATTTTTTCTCAGATGCACATTCAGTTTTTAGAAACTGCCAACTGTTTCCATTTTATGTTATCAATATATGAATATTTTCATTACATTCCCATGGGAATGCAATGTCCATTATAATGAATGTCCATATATCAGAGGGTTTATATCCCTGATTAGACAAATTGTCCATATATCAGAGGGTTTACTTCTATGTTCTAAATGCTATTCCTTTTGTCCGAATGTGAATCTTTAATCATTACAATATGAAACTCAATTACTATAGTTTCTTGGTATAAATTAAGGTCAACAAATGCAATATCGCCAATCTTAGAATTGCTTTGGTTATTCTGGGAATTACACAGTTTCATACAAAATTGTAGTATTGGGGGTATGGTGCCGCCAGCAGGTCAGTCTGTACCTGTGAGGCGAGTGCATCAGCAGCTTCATGGCGCCTTCAGACTTCTAGATACACCAAAATTTCTGCTGTGCCTTTGGCCAGATCCCAAAACCTTGGGGCAAAGTTTTCCAAGAAAGTAAACGGCTAAAAGTTAGGTATGTGGGAGACACACCCACAAACCACCTCCGGCTCACTATATAATTGGAGGCATGGCGTCTCTTGTTCCTGATTGAACTGCTTAATGGCCATGATCCCAGACTCAGAAACAAATCTTGAAGCCCTACAGCTTTTGGCAGAAATGCGTCCGGTCCCTGCAGTAGGCTACTGGTGCTGTGCCGTCATCCTCCAGAGGCCACTGGACAGTCAGGTTTGTGCCTGCAGTGATGAGACATGTGGAGCCTCACGGGATGAGGGTGGAGCTGGCCCTTTCTTCCCCGTGCCAACGAGACCCTGAGTCGCCGCCCACAAACGGCCTCTCTAACTTCTGATCAAGCTGCTTAATGGCCATGATCCCAGAGACTGAGAAACAAATCTCGAAACCCAGAGGCTTTTGGCAGAAATGCGTGTGGGCCACGCAGTAGGTTACTATTGCCATGCCACCCCAGGGGGTAAAGGGTGATGTCCCTCCGCCTGCTCTCCCTAGGTGGCTTGGTGGCCGCCATCTTCCAGAGGCCATTGGACAGTGAGGTTTGGGCCTGCAGTGTCGAAACATGCAGGGCCTCACGGGACGGGGGTGGAGCCGGCCCTTTCCTCTCCATTCCAATGAGACTCTGAGTCGCCACCCACAAACGACCTCTCTGGCTCCTAATCAAGCTACTTAACAGCCATGATCCCAGAGTCTCAGAAACAAATCTCAAAACCCAACGACTTTTGACAGAAATGTGTGTGGGCCACAAAGTAGGTTACAGGCTCTGGGCCACCCCTGGTGGGAATAGGTTTTGTGCCTTGGCCTGCTCCACCTTGGTGGCTTGGTGGCCACCATCTGCCAGAGACCATTGGACAGCATGGTTTGGGCCTGCAGTGACAAGACACGCGGGGATTTATGGGATGGGGGTGGAGCCAGCCCTTTCCTCCCCACCCCAAAGAGACCACGAGTTGCCGCCAACAAACAGCCTCTCTGGCTCCTGAACAAGCTGCTTAATGGCCATGATCCCAGAGACTCAGGAACAGATCTCAGAACCTAGCAGGTTTTGGCAGGAAATCTCTCCAGATTTAATTGTTAAAATTTCGGAATTTCAAAATTGCACAGCCACGACTGCAACCACGCGACATAGTATATTATTCATGACCAGCAATAGAAAACAAATTGTATACTGTTGCCTTTTCGGCAGATCTGAGTGTTGGGGTAAAATCCCAAATAATAATGGTGGGTGTGGTGTTTAAATGATCAAAGTAGAGAGAGAGAGTAATTTGGAAATCATCTGCCCCACACGTAGCGGGAGGGTGTGGGATGTGGGTATACTGGGGGTTTTTGGAGGTGGAGAATGGGCACTGGTGAAGGTACGGGTGTTTCATTGTATGACTAAGACTTAAACCCAAAAGCTTTGTAACTGCTCTCATGGTGATTCAATAAATAAAACTATAAAAAATGGGGGGAAAAAAGGTAGAGTTCATGCAAAATTCAATCAGCCTAATCAGTGGCTAAATAAATAGCAGTACTCCTACATAAAAAAAATTGTATTATCCGTTCTATCTATATATCACCATATAATTGTTGCACCATTTTTTATTGCAAAAACTAGCTTATAACCTTTTACTGCATAACCATCACATTATAAACACCCTGCCCAATGTAGTATCTCTCCATCATACTATGTTTTTCTTTAATATTGTTCAATTTCTTGGTGTATTTGTTCATAGCTGTCTCTTATCATCCTCTGCACAAAATGTATCACTTAACAGGAACAGCTTCTGAAAATGGATTAGTATGTGATTTTGTACTTACATGAATGTCACAGAATGCATATCTTTCTCCAAAAAAGCAGCTCACCCTTTCAATGATATAGCAATGCAGGAGGACATCATGGAAAAGGAGTGAACAACAGCTAGTCATTTGAGTTCTATAACATGGCTGCTCCTGCCCTACTATGGAGTTTTCAGCATATGGCTCTGAGGAAGTATTTGGAAAAAATTATAGATGCCCCTTACTTATATGTAGATTATATCCCTGGCAATAAGATAAACGTATTTTTTCTTATGTAACTGTGTTTCTGAGGTAGCCCCAATGTATTAAAATGATGTCAGTTTTGCATAAACACAATCAGTAATGAAATTTAAAAATCATAGAATTAAAAAATTGAAAAAATATCTCCATTGCTGGCACTTGAAGCGAAGTTATTATAGACGTACAATTACCTGTGTGAAACAGCATATAGAATGCTAGAGAAAACTAGCATTTGTGGGCTAGTTTTGACAACTTAAAGGCTCCATGGTCGTTTTATTTTTTCCTATTTGGTTTATGAGACTCACCTAGAGATGCTCAGGATTACTTCTTACTTTGTACTCAGGAATATACTCTTGACAGTACTTAAGGGACCATATGGGGTGCTGGGGGTTGAGTCTGGGTTGGCTGCATGGGAAGCACATGCCCTACCCCACTATACATCATTCTGCCCTCTCCACAAGTTATTTTAAATTTTGAAAGTATCATCTGTCAGATATAATTAAACCAATACTATTATAAATTTTATTTCAAGTTGACCATGGACTCTCAAGCAAGAAAAAAATGTGTTCCTTCTTTACTAGAAGACAATTAGAAATGAGGCAAAAACAGCTCTGGAAGACAAATCAGAAGAGATTGGAATATATGCTTTGCAGATATGATGTTACAAGTTTTATCCCTAGCACTGGCCCCTTGAGCACTGACAGGGGTAGCTCTGGTGATCCTTTGAACCACTGAGCCTAAGCAGTACCACAACACCAGGCCCATGCGCTGAACTATCAGGCATGAATAGCTGGTATGAGTATCACTAGAAGTAGCTCCCAGGTCTCTTGAGAACTGTTCGAGAGGTTCTTCCAATGAAAAAAAGGCAGTTGTTGAAACTGGATATCCTTAAGGACTCTGGAACCTGAAAATACTTGTACTTATAATTTGTATTCTTTTTTCTACACACTAAACAAAGTAAAAGTATCACAGATTTCCTTTTTCTCAATATGAGAATTAAATGGCACTATTATCACTGTTACAGATTTTATGCCTTCATTTTATGTAAGTCCTTTAGAAGTTCAGAAAGCTGAAGCAAAGAAGTGAAAAAAATCGGGAGGCATTAAAATATTTTTAGCTAATATGACAGTGAGTAAAAGAGAAAAACAAGCAATTTTTATATACAGAAAAGAGTGTAATCAGTGGAATTAAGTTGTAAAACAGAAGACGGGAGATATCTTTAACATTTAATGTTCCAGGTATGCACATAACACTTAATATTCAGATGAAATTAGGTTCTAAGAATGAGATGGCAAGGCTCCCAGGAATATCAGTCAAAGGAATCTCAACTAATGTCAATGTGACCTGGACAAAGCCAAGAGATGGAATGGTAGATGACTAGACATTTGGACATACAAGCTGTGACAAAGTTTTTTGCCTTTATCATTTATGCGTTCCCATGAAAACAGTTATATTGTAGCCTTAACAGAGATAAGTTTCCTTACCTTGATTTTATATCCAAAACTGCAGTTATTTCTTGTTTGGAAGCCTGTACTTGGTATAAAAGCTTAACAATATAATTAAAGTGTTCTGGGTCAAGCACCATCCCAGCTTCTACAAGCTTAGAAGAGAAAATAAAATTAGCTATTTTTATAAAAACATGAGGGAGTTGAAAACCAAACTGCATGCAACAACTGAGACTAATGGAAGAAACGAAAACATGGAGACAAGTAGAATTAAAAATTCATTAAAAATATGATTGCCACTCAATTCCTCTTTTGCAAACCACAGCACCCAAAATTAGAGAGAGAACAAAAGGGAGTGCCCTGCCACATAGGCAGGGTAGGATTGGGGATGGGGGGTGGGAGGGATACTGGGATTAGTGGTGGTGGAGAATGGGCACTGGTGGAAGGATGGGTACTCGATCATTGTATAACTGAAACCCAAGCACAAAAATTTGTAAGTCTACAACTGTACCTCATGGTGTTTCACTAATAAAAATTAAAAAAATATATTTGAAACCTATTTCTTCAAATATTTGCGAATGATCTATCTCAAAATATAAAGCAAAAAATGGAAATAATTTTGAATTAAAAAATATTTGGGCTTACAGAAGACAGCTCAAATGCTTGAAGCACATGTCTGGCACATGCTAGGTTCCAAATTAGGTCCCTGACACGACATCACTCCCCAAGTATTACCATGGATGTATCCCCTAGTACTGAGCTATCACTGATAGTGGGCCCAAGATCTCATAAGTACTGTCTGGGAAGCTCTTTGCAAAATAATTAAGACACTGAATACTGTTATCCCACTCATTTCATTATTTGCAATTCCTGTTTGGTAGTTATTATTACTGGCAGTGTCTATCACCGCCTTTGAACTTTCTAAGAGAGTTAACAGTTTTCAACAACTACTGAAAGTGATCAATACTTTCTGAGTGAAAGAATTTCTAGGCAAGGGGCTGCAGAGATAGATTAAAATTCCACATGGGAAACCAAGATTCAATCTTTGATGTTACATGAACCCTGGGGCACTTCTGGGAGATCCTGAATACCATGCTGGGGGTAATCCCTGAGAGCCAATAGGCATGGCCCTTCTGAAAATTTTCTAGGAAAGTAATTTTGTCAAGTTTTGCAATGTAGAACTAGAACCATTCACCAAAATATCTGTTAAACTGCTACAGTGGTTCCAATGCTTTTTCCTAAAGAAGATGTGGACTTACCTACTATAAGATCTATTCTGAAGTGGATGTCTGGGTTGAGCCAAATTTTAGAAAGCAGTAAAAATTTAAAAATATATATTTAATATAATTTAAATTTAATATATTTAAAACCATACAATTCTTATTTTTTTCTTTTGTTTAATGCCAAATATAATATTTTATTTATTTTATTTTTTTTTCTTTTTGGGTCACACCCAGCGATGCTCAGGGGTTACTCCTGGCTCATGCACTCAGGAATTGCTCCTGGCGGTGCTCAGGGGACCATATGGGGTGCTGGGAATCGAACCTGGGTCGGCCAGGTTGGCTGCGTGCAAGGCAAACACCCTACCCGCTGTGCTATCACTCCAGCCCCAAATATAATATTTTATAGCCACCACATTTCTCTCTTTGTTTTGGTCATACTTTTCTTGATATATTTATTTGCATATGTATTTCTGTTATAAATGCCTACAATCTTTTTGGAAAAAAGAATTTTCTTAATTATCTTCAGGTAATTGAGATGAGGATAAGTAACAAATCAATAGTCTTCTGGGAGTGCTTGGAACTATTAATTTAAAGTAAAAGCACGGCAGTCATTAAAGTCAGTTGATAAATCCTACTTAGGAAAAAAAAGAACATTTTTTGTTGTTGTCATTTTTAGACCATGCTAGGCAGTGCTCAGGGATCATGCCGCCTGGCAGAGCTAGGGGCACCATATGGGGTGCCAGGGATTGAACCTGGGTTGGTTGGGTGCAAAGCAAGTTCCCTACCCATGGTACTATCTCTCCAGCCCCCAAGATAACATTTCTGAAAAAAATTCTTTGATAAGAAGTGGAGGACAAGGATATAGCTAGGTAGTAGAATGCAATCTATGTATGTTTGAAACCCTAGGTCTGATCTCTAGGATCATAAAGACAAAATAACAGCGAGGATAAGTAGAAACAATTATTTTTTTTTCCCTTTATTTTATTTTATTTTTTTTAAAGTTGTAGATTTACAATTTTTTGTGCTTTGGTTTCAATTATACAATGATTAGATACCCATCCCTCCACCAGTGCCCATTTTCCACCACCATGGATAATATCCCTCCCACCCCCATCCCCCCATCCCCCCTGTCTCTGTGGCAGGGCAATCCCCTGTGTTCTCTCTCTCCTTTTGGATGTTGTGGTCTGCAAAAGAGGCATTGAGTGGCAAACATGTTCAGTCCATAGTCCACTTTCGACATGCATCTCCCCTCCTGGGAGGATCCTCCAAACATCCTTTATTTGGTGCTCCCTTCTCTATCTGAACTGCCCTTTCCTCTAGGATACCCGGCTGGCCTCTAAGTTATGGAGTAATCCTCCTGGTGCTGATCTCAGCTATTCTTGGGTATTAATCTCATACTTTAGAAACAATTATTTTTAAGATATTATTATTAAAGCAAAAAACTGCATACCTTGCGAAGTATATCAATTAAAGCAGGTACAGCATTTCTTAATTTCATGGCTGCCACATGCTCAAATATTTTTAGTAATATATTCAGAGCAGGCTGAATAAAACAAAAAATATTAAACTCATTTTCATGTCTTATTTCAGTACACTTTAAGATTTTAAAATCAGTTTGTTGAAAAACACAGAGTTCTCAACAAGTATTCAACAAATAGAAGCATTCAACACAAGTATTCAACGAATTTCACGTTAAGTTTTTCACTTTAAGAAATTTCACTTAAAATTTTTCAAATTTGTTTATGCTGAAAAACACAAGTGTTCTCAATAAGTATTCAACAAGCAGAAGTATTCGACACAAGTATTCAATAAGCAGTAATTTTACATCTAAATAATGAGATCAAAATTTAAAAATTTAAAGAAATATGAAAATATTTTTGGGCTACTTACCATGATCTTAATCATTATGCTGAGATTCACTACCTGAAATACTTCTTTCAATAAACAATGTTTGAGTAAAGAAATTAGGAGATCATTTAGCACTTGTAAATCAAAGTGTACACCTGGAGGAAATTTTCTGTAATATTCCATAAATATGTTTACTGAAAGTGAAAAAATATATTAAAATATATACATTACTTTTAAGATAATCTTTCAATGTTTAAAAACTGAGTAATAAAAACATTTAAAAACTGAGTAATATAAATTCATTTATAAAATTTAGTATTATAAATATTTAATGAAAACAAATTACAGCAAAGTTTAATAGCAGTAAATTTTAAAGAAATTCTGACACATTAAGACACTAAAATGAGAGATAACTTCTGCTATTCACAAAAATAGGTTCAAATTTCATCAATCATAGTCCCAACATAAACTTATACTCCTGAGGCAGTGACCAAGTCATATATAGGAAACTATGTAATTTCGGGTGGGTGCAGACTATTCTGACATATACTTTTCCTTACTGAAACCTACTTGGTGATACTTTTCATTTTAGTCCTTTTCATTTCACCTTAATTATGAACATTCTACTAAAAATTAGAAGATCAATTTCCTTTGAGAAAGTAATGCTATTTTGATTTAATTACTTACTTGATTTTTATACTACATATTTCCAATTTTTATTCATTAATTTTACATATATAAAGTAAAAATATCATTTTTTCTCCTTTGAAAATTTTCCCATGTCAAAAAATCTATAAACTTAACTGAAACTGTTTTAGTAAACAATTATTTTTTTTCCTACCCAAAATACTTGATTAGTTGGTGTTGCTTGCAGAAGCAGCCAATGATAAAATTCAATGGATAATGGAAAAATTAATGTCAAACTTAAAACTTTCAACAAATATATTACAGGTATTATTATTCACATTTATTCTAAAAAATCCTTATATACTCAATTGCTTTTACTGGCAGAACCCTGGTTCAGTCAAGAAATTTTGGAATTTTTCTATGTAGATTTTTACTTACTCATGCAATCTCCCTAATAGTTATAAGTATGTTAAGATTTTCTCTTTGTCACTTAGTCTTGGTAGGTTTTGTGTTTTTAGGAAATTTGTCCGACTCATCGAAGCTGTCGGATTTGTAATTCTATCTAGGCAGAGTCTATCTTCACTCCATTCCTTCCCATTCCAGTCGTCGCATGATGTTCTCTAGAGCGGCTCTGAAGAGTTTCGGTGAAATGTTATCACCCTGCCAAACCCCTTTCTTTATGTCGATGATCACTTCCTTGTAGAGTGGTGAGATCCTGGTAGTGAATTCGTAATACAGCTCACGGAGGATCCTGATGTACTGAGTTTGAAGACCCTATTTGGCTAGGCCTTCAATAACCACTTCAGTCTCAACAGGATCAAAGGCCTTCTTTAAATTGATGAACGTTAGACAGAATGGCATCTTGAACTCTCGCAAAACCTCAATGAGCTTGGATATGGTGTGGATATGGTCGAAAAGTGCTGCAATGCACATAGGAGTGCAGATGTTTTTTTCTGCATTGTTTTGAGGCTCTTAGGGTATAGCCCTGGAGTGGAATTGCTGGGTTGTATGGAAGCTCGAGTGCTAGCTTTTTGAGGAATATTTATATTGTCTTCCAGTCAACATTCTCACCAACAGTGAATGAGGCTCCCTTTTCCCTTGCATCCACAACAATACTAGTTGTTGTTCTTTTTGATGAACGCCTATTTTCTATGGTATTTGGTGCATCTCATTATTGTTTTGATTGCATTTCCATGATGATTATTAATATTCAGCTTACTCCTGGTTCTGAGCTTTGGTGATTAGGGGTTAACCCTGGTGATGCTCAGGGTATGTAGAGCTGGGAACCAAACTGGAGTTGGCTATATGCAAGGCTAATGCCTTAACCTCTGCACTATTTCTCTGGCTCTATCTTTCTTTAAACTAAATTATCACCTTCCTAAAAACTCTTATGGAAAAGACTTTTTTTCTAGTGATCTGTTAATACAAAATAATATTAATTCATTTTAATATACACTAAACAGTAGCACTATAGCACTGTCCTCTCATTGTTCATCGATTTGCTCGAGTGGGCATCAGTAACATCTCCATTGTGAGACTTGTTACTGTTTTTGGCATACTGAATATGCCACAGGGAACTTGCCAGGTTGCCGTGCAGGCGGGATACTCTTGGTAGCTTGCTGGGCTCTCCAAGAGGGACAGAGAAATCAAACTCGGGTTGGCTGCATGCAAGGCAAATGCCCTACCCGCTGTGCTATTGCTCCAGTCACACTAAACAGTAGTAGTTTTAAAAATGCTTTTAGTCATAAAACTTCTGGAGAGAAAACATTATTTGGAAATTATAATATAAAACAGATGGAGGCTCTATGAACATATAGTGGTGATGGGGACTGCTATGCATTTAGCTACCTGCCCTTGCACATCAAAGTGGTCCTTGTAACCTCTATGGTTGAAGAAATTAGATCCACACTTAGTATCTTCCCTTCCAAACCTGATTATCTTCTTAAACACTAAACTTTTTTTTTTTGGCTTTTTTGGCTTTTTTTTTTTTTGTGCAAACCCAGTGATGCACAGGGGTTTATTCCTGGCTCTGCACTCAGGAATTACTCCTGGTGGTGCTCAGGGGACCGTATGGGATGCTGGGGATAGAACCTGGTTAGTCGCATGCAAGGCAAATGCCCTATCCACTGCACTATAACTACAGCCCCTAAACACTAAACTTTTATTCATAACATTGGGCCTATTCTGTGATTGTCTGCTCTACAGATCTCTGTTTCTACTTTCACCTTAGTTTTCAGGGATTCTCACTAATTTCTGTATTTATTTATTTATTATAGGTCTTGATATATCCACGTTTGTTGTTTTAAAAATAAATTCAGAGATTTCTCCTGTTACTATATTGAATAATTACACAATCAGAATTACATTTTAGGGACATTCACTGCCTTCCCTGACATCCTCTTTCTTTCACATTTCATATAATAAGGTTTCTTCTAGGACAGAAATGCACATCCTTAAATAACCATTTATTTAGCTTCTCTTCCTCTGCTGTCATAACTACTCAGAAAATGCATTTCCTACATAGGCTCCTATTAGTTCTATCTTACTACTTTCTCCTTCTTATAGTTAGAAAAAGTTCAGAACAGTAGTTCTCACATATATTTCTTTTAATTCTTAGAGATACTTCAAACAGATGAGTATCAATTTAAAGTGCTCTATTACTCTTATATGATGTGCCTTTTTTTGGCTAAGTCAGGATGACAAACAAAGCATGGTTCCTTCCTCAAGCAAAAATGGGGTGGGGTTGTGGACTCAGATAGCACTGAAAAAAGAGGGCTAGATAGAGACTACAGTGGGTAAGTCACATGGCCAACCCATGTTCAAACCCTGCCAGTATCCTATATGATCTGCAGAGAATTGCCAGGAGTGATTCTTGAATGCAGAGTCAAGAGTAATCCCTGAGCACTGCCAGTGTTCAATATATGCCAGTGTTCAATATAGTATCAGGAGAAAACAAAACAAAACAAAAAAATAACAGAGGATTCCTCTTTTATGACTTGAAAGACCATAGATTACAGACCAAAGTTTTTGCTTGGGAAAGGGACGGAAGAAAAGCATTCTGTGCATAGTGAGCAGTGACAGTAATGGCAATGTATTTATAACACAGCCTGGCTTGTTTAAAGGACTGCAAAGAGAGATGGGAACAGACTCTAAGGAATAAGTGTACAATGAGAATGAAGTAGAGATGATCCAGTTTCCGCATGTTCCTTTCAGAAAGATTTTAAGTTAATTAACTATAATCTTATTATGTCATACCTATAAAAAGTTTGTCATGAAAATACTAGTCAAAAGTTTATAGCATAAAACGGTAGAATTGTTTTTTGGGCCATACCTTATGGTGCTTGGGTGCTCCTGTTTCTGTGTTCAGGGGACACTTCCAGTTGGACTTGGAGACAATATGATGTGCTGCTGGTGAGGCTTGGGGGACTATATGGGGTGCTGGGGATTCAACCTAGGTCAGCCTCTTGCAAGGGAAATTGCCCTATATACTGTCCTATCTCTCCAGTCCCCCACAATTCCTTTTATTAACCAGTCATAGCACTTTTAGTATTTTCTAACACTGACATCCAGTCTAAGGCATTTGGTTTTCATACTTAAAAGTACTAAATTTACCTTCAAACCATAAAATAACAGCACACTGATTTAATTTCATTGTCTCATACCTGCACGTTGTAGCAAACATAGTTCATTGATACTTATATATTTCTTAAATACATCCATGCAAATCTGCAAAAATCATGAAATATGGAAAAATTACCTTTTCATACATACTTTATAAAAAGCTTGAATTCTTGTTTCTTTTAAAAGACTAAAGCAATGGAATAAAATTGATTTTAGGTTGACATTTGCAATGAACATTCAATTAATTACAAAAACCTAGGTTACAGAAGTTCTATCAAAGAAACAATCAAGGAAAATAGCTGAGATTTGGAAGGACTTGAGGACAGAAGGAAATTCTTTAACAAAAGATCTTATGTCATTTTTGTTTTGTGGGGCTACATGGCAGTGCTCAGGGCTTACTCTTGTCTCTGCTCAAGGATCATGCCTGGTGGGCTCAGTGGACTATATGTGGTACTGTGGATTAAACTAGAGTCAGCTGCATACAAGGAAAGCACCCTCCTCATTATGTACTATCATCCAAACCCAGATCTTATTTATATATTAAACAAAATTTACCAGCACAAGGATAAACATACTGACCAACAGTTTAAAAAAGAGATTAGAGGACTGAAGAGATAAAGGTGCCTTGCGGTGCCTTGCACATGACTGACTTGAATTCAATCCCTGATACAACATATGAGCAACTAGGAGTGAGCATCCCTGAGCACAGAGCCAGGAGTAAGCCCTGAACACAGCTAGGTGTGGTCCCAAACCAAAACCAAACAAAAATTAAGTTAAAAAGATTAGAAATAGACCCACCTATATAAAATTGGCTGACTTATGACTTAGTGACACCGTGTTAAAGTGTGAAAATAAGGTGTTTTTTTTTTTAAAGTAAATGGTGTCATATCAACTCATTCTAGAGGTTTGAATGCACAAGATAAAACATTTAAGAAAAAGGTATTATCTTGATAATCTTTTCATGGATTTCAATTGATACAAAAGTTAACATCATAAGTAAAAATATTAGACAAAGCAGACAATATAAAAATCAAGACATTCCTTTTATACAAGACACCATTAAGAGGCTGAACAGGCTACTGTGAAATAGTATAAACTACATGAACTCCCCCCCCGCAAAAAATTATATTCAGAATGTATGTGGTGGGGAGAGGGAGACAGAGCGATATTACAACGAGTGGGGAGTTCACCTTGCACTTGGCTGACCCGGGTTTGATCCCTGGCATACCATATGGACCCCCCAAGCACCACCAGGAGTGATTCCTGAGTGCAGAGCCAGGAGTAACCCCTGAGTAACACTGGGTAACACTCAAAAAGCAAAAAATCAAAACAAAAAAAGAATTGTGCGTGTGCACAAGCATGTGCTGTGCTATGTGTGTGTGTGTGTGTGTGTGTGTGTGTGTGTGTGTTGGGTGAGAACTGAATCTAGGGCTTTACACACGCAGAACAAGTGTTTTGACCCTAAACTATATTCCCAGACCAATAAAGAATCCTTAAAATGAAGTTAAAAAAATTGCATAGAGGGGCTGGAGTGATAGCACAGCGGGTAGGGCGTTTGCCTTGCATGCAGCCAACATGACTGACACAGGTTCGATTCCCAGCATCCCATATGATCCCTGAGCACCACCAGGAGCAATTCCTGAGTGCATGAGCCAGGAGTAACCCCTGAGCATCACCGGGTGTGACCCAAAAAGCAAAAAAAAAAAAATGCATAGAATGTAGGCTACAATTATAAGAGAAGGATTGCTTTCCAATCATCAGAATAATTTAAAGGATAAGAATACAATTCTCTGATAAGGATGTGAAGCAACTAGTGTCTCTCAACATTTCTCATAAAAATGTAATTTGGAAAACCACTGTGAATTGTTTGACCATATCTACTAAAGAAGAAAAATGCATATCTTATGATTCAGCCTTTCCAGTTTTAAATATAATCCATCATAGCATGTACATACAGTCACCAAAGAAATGCAGAACACTAACAGAATAACTATTGTAATTATCAAATTCAGAAACCACCCAGATGTCTGTACTGTATTATCTTTTATCTACAGAATTTTCATGTAGTCACATAATGGAATACTCACTATAATAGAGCAATGAGAAAATGTCTACAAGTAAAAAGGAATCTCAAAAATTTCAAAGAAATGACAAGCCAGAAATGAAAGAATATAAATTGTATGACTCCATTTACATACAGCACAAAGCTAGGTAAAGTTTACATATGCTATGTAAAAGCAAATTTAAATTTAAATATATGAGTATGACAATAAGAACAATTTCTCCTTCAAAGATTTTACAAATGTTACCTTTTCATCTCCTTGTTCAGGCAAATGAGCAAACTTGCATTGTGATCGCTCACAGCCACGTAATGTATTAAAATGAAATTTGCAATATCTATGAGGTATCACCAATCCTAGGAGCTTTTGAAACACCTAGAAAATTAGAAATAACAAAATCAAGTGAGAAGATATTTGAAACACTCAAAAAACACTGTAAATCCAAAAATACTACCAAGAAAAACTGCTTGTTTCAATTTATACTTCAAAAATAATGAAAAATCAGGGCTAGACACAGTATAACAGGTCTGGTGCTTGCCTTGCATGCAGTTGACCCAGGTTCAATCTCCAGCACCACACATGGTCCCTGAACCTTGCCAGTAGTGATTCTAGAGTTCAGAATGAGAGTAATCCCTGAGCACTGCTGGGTGTGCAAAAAGCAAAACAACACAATAACACAAAAAACAAAATAAATAGAAAACTAAAAAGAATAATAAAAAGTTATTTGACTAAATTTTGGCAATTTCCTTTAGTGTAAAATATTTCAAAATTACCATCTTCCTCTTTTCTATTTGGTTTTGGATTACAATGGCAGAGTTCAGGATTTAATACTTATTCTGTGCTTAGGGATTACTACTGGTGATATTCGGGGGACCATGTGGGGTACCAGAACAAACCAGAGTTGCCTGCATGCAAGATAAAGCGCTGTACTATCTTTGTAGTCTAGAAAATAACCTTTCATTATTTTTCTTTAAACATTTTTTTAAAGCTTATACACCCCCTTCTTCTATTTGTAATACTTTCAATTTAATAAAAAGGTAATTCTGTTATAATTTATTAATGCCATTTTTCCCCTTAAGTTTTCGGAATAATTTTCAAATGACAGACTCAAAGCTTTTTCCAACAAACTTTATTGCTTTTTCTTATATTGTTATTTTTATCTTTTTCACATGGAACTACTTATCCTATCATTTCTAATTTGGATATCTAAACTCTTAGTTATTTGCAAAATCCCCCGAATTTCAACTCATCTTCTGTCTGTTACCATCAATTACCACTCAAAAATCCATATAAAACCTCTAACTCTATAACAATTAGAGTATATACTTCATACGTTTTTGTTTTTTTTTTTAAATGGCAAACTTACCCCAATATTTTTATCCCTCTTAAATATTTCACAAACTTCAGGATTCTGCGGCTTGATGACAGAATGTTTTCCTGGAAACCTGAAATCTAAAAAATGTTTAAGGAGAACATGAAACCCATGATGTCACAACTCACTCATTTTATAACCAATCAGTTGACCACTGCTGCCTTTACTTCACTTTACACTTCAGTTCAGAAAGTGCATTACTTTGTGTGTGGAGTATTCCCATGAGACAGATGATTTAAGCCTTCATATAAATCACTCTAGAGGTATCTGTCTGTCTGTCCTATCCTCCTGTTGTTCATAGGTTTGCTCGAGTGGGCACCAGTAATGTCTCCATTGTGAGACTTGTCGTTATTGTTTTTGGAATATCGAATATGCCACGGGGACCTTGCCAGGATCTGTTGTACAGGTAGGATACTCTTGGTAGCTTGGTGCGCTCTCCGAGAGGGACACAGAAATCGAACCCGGGTCAGCCATGCGCCAGGCAAACGCCCTACCCGCTGTGCTATCGCTCTAGCCCATAGATATCTGTAGACCTCAATTTAAAATAGGTTCATCTTAAGGTAAAAAAAATAGTTTTTAAATTTTTATGTAGCAGCCTTAGGCACTGCATTTAAATGATTATAAATTAAAAGATGCAGAGCAGTAGGGCATTTGCCTTGCACGAGGCTGGCCTGGCTGACCTGGGTTTGATTCCTCCTCCCTTCTCGGAGAGCCCGAGAGTATCCCGCCCTGGCAAGCTCCCCGTGAGGTGTTCGATATGCCAAACATAGTAACAAGTCTCACAATAGAGACGTTACTGGGCCCGATGGAGCAAATCGATGAACAATGGGAGGACAGTGCTACCGTGCTACATAAATCATTGTAATAAGCTATCAATAAAAAATAAAACCTATTCATCAATGAATGCTGAAAAGGTATTTGACAACAATTTTACTATTTGATAAAAATTTACAATAGAATGGGGCCAGAAGGAAAATATCTCAGATTTATAAGAGTTATTTCTGTAGTAGAAAAGGTCTTATAATGAGCAAATAGACAAGAAATAAAAGGAATTCAGATGAGAAAATAAGAGAAAGTAACATTATTTGCAGATGATAATACAGAAAATACTAAACATTCCACTAGAAATGAATACAACAAAGGGGGCTGAGCAATAGTTGCCTTGCATGTGGTTTGATCCCCAGCATCCCATATGGTCCCCTAAGCACCACCAGGAGTGAATGCTGAGTGCAGAGCCAGTAGTAACCTCTGAGCACTGTTAGGTGTGGTACCAAAAACAAACAACAACAACAACAACAACACAAAATATGAGTACAGCAAAGTAGTGGGCTACAAATCAATATAAAAAGATCTACTTCATTTCTATATGCAAATAATAAACAAGAAAAAAATAATTCTACACAAAAGGATCAAATATGGTGGAACATGTTTAACAAAAGAGATCAAAGACTTGTATAACGAAAACTACAATATACAATTTAAAGACAAAGTACAACGTTAACAATAGCAAATGGGGGGCCGGAAAGATAGTACAGGGGGTACTATCCCAGGCATTTCATAGCAGTCCCCCTTGCAGTGCCAGGAGAGATTCCTGAGAGCAGAGCCAGTATAATCTCTGTGCATCACCGGTTATGACCCAAAAAAACTTAAAAGAAAAGAAAAAGAATGGTAAATTGGTGGTTACAGTGATAGTAACCACAGGCAAGGTGCTTGCCTTGTATAAGGCTGACCATCATTCAATACTTGGCACTGCATATGGTCCTCTGATCACCTTTGGGAGTGACCCTTGAGCACAGAGCTAGGAATAAGCCTTGAGCACCCCTCCTACGTAAATGCATGGAGAGAATTAATATAGTAAAATGTTATTCTATTAAAATTTACAACATTTAATGCAATTCACCTAATTTTTTTCAACGACTTTCCCCCCCCACAGAAATAGGAAAAAAAAGTCCTTAAGTAATGAAAGTAATTCTGAGGGAGGGGGGCAGGTGAGAGCCCTCTCCGCCTCAAGGGACCCAGCCCTGGCAGCTGACCTCCACAACCCAATCGCTGCCACACTCCAGGCCGCTTTCCACACACTTGGGACAAGCTTCACATGAGTGAACATACACCTGGCACTGCAAGAGTATGTTCATAAGACACTCTCCACCCATTTTTCATAATTGCCATACCATATTCGATGGGGTTCAGATAGCAGACAACAAATCATAGATGGAAATATATGTATATGCATATATACATATTTTCAGACATAAATACCAAAGCTCACATCACCTAAATTTTAACAACATGTTAGAGAGATCCTATAGAATGTCTTAATGGCTCCTGCCAAAATAGAACACTCTTCACACTGTTTCCTATATAAACACTTTTTTGTAAGCATGTTCAGCAGTTCTTTATAACAGACAATACAAAATATGTTCTCTCGTTTGTGTTTTGGGACAGGGCTTGGGGCTTGGGATGGAAACATCCGAATTGGGTAGTGGGAAGGTATAATGGTGGTGGGTTTGGAGTTTGAAAATTAAATGTAATCAAATATTGTGAAATAACTTATAAAATAAAAAAAATTTAAAAAAGTAATTCTGAGGAAGAAAAATAAAAATGGTGAATCACGCTGATTTCAAACTACTCTACAAAATGACAGAAATTTAAATTGTATGGTACTAAAATAAAAGAGACATATGGCTCAATGGAATAGAACTGGAAGTCCAGATATAAATATACATATTTAATTTCAAGGATACTTATAACAAAGGATCTAAGATGATATAATGAAGAATAAGTTTCAACAAACAGTGCAAGAAAAATTAGACACATTTAAAGGAAAAAAACCCCGACTTCTCTCTAATGTCAACTAAAAGTTAATTCAAAATGGGTTAAAAATCTATTGGCCTGTTTCCCCTAGCGGCTCGGGGTCCGCCATCTTCCAGAGGCCAATGGACAGCCAGGTGGGGGGCCTGCATTGAGGAGACATGTGGGGCCTCATGGAATGGGGGCAAGGCCGGCCCTTTCCTCCCCCACCCCAAGAAGACTCCAAGTCGCAGCCATGAATGAGCCCTCTGGCTACTCAACAAGTGGCTTAAATCATGATCCCAGAGACTCAGAAACAAATCTCCAAACTCAGCGGCTTTTGTCAGAAATACCTCCAGATTTAATTATTAAGATTTCAGAATTGAAATCTGAAATTGTGCAGCTGCTAATGCAGTCACACGACATTATATACTATTCATTATCAGCAATAAAAATCAAATTGTCTAATGTTACCTTATCAGCAGATATGAGTGTTGGGGTAAAATCCCAAATAATAATCGTGGATCTGTGATAGCACAGCATGTAGGGCGTTTGCCTTACACGCAGCTGACCCAGGTTTGATTCCCAGCATTCCAAATGGTCTCCTGAGTACCACCAGAAGTAATTCCTGAGTGCAGAGCCAGGAGTAAACCCCTGTGTATTGCTGGGTGTGATCCAAAATGAAAAAAATAAATAAAAGGTGGATCTGGTGTCAAAATATTAAATGTAATCAAAGCAGAGAGAGAGTAATGTGGAAACTATCTGCCACACAGGTAGGGGAGGGGTTGGGATGGGGGGTATATTGGGATTTTTGGTGGTTGGAAATGTGCACTGGTGAAGGGATGGGTGTTTCATCACTGTATGACTGAGACTTAAACCCAAAAACTTTGTAACTGCTCTCACGGTGATTCAATAAATAAATTTATTTAAAAAATGGGTTAAAGATCTAGATGTATGACCCAAAACCATTAACAGAGGAAAATCCAGGCAAAACATTCCATGACACTAGTATAAGCAAGGCTGGAGTGATAGCACAACGGATAGGGCATTTGCCTTAAATGCGGCCGACCTGGGTCGCCCAGGTACGATTCCTCCACCCCTCTCGGAGAGCCCGGTAAGCTACTGAAAGTATCCTGTCCACAGCGCTGAGCCTGGCAAGCTCCCCGTAGTGTATTCGCTATGTCAAAAACAAGTCTCACAATGGAAATGTTATTGGGCCCGCTCAGTGCTACAGTGCTACAGTATAAGCAATATTTTTGGGTACCTAACCTCAACAGCAATGAAAACGGAAATAAAAAAATTATTTCATATTCTATTCTTTTGTTTTCGGGTCACTAATGTGGTTTTCAGGCATCACTTTTCATGGTGCTTAGAACCATAGGGGGTCCCCAGGATTGAACTCAGGCTGGCCACATAGAAGAAAAGCCCCCTACCTATTGTACTATCTCTCCAGCCCGAAAAGTAAATACGTTAAATTTGGACATTAAATTGAAAACCCTTTTTGTTTTGTATTGCAGTTTTCAGGGGGGGGGACACTGTGCTTCGGGTTTAGTCTTGGTTCTGAGCTTAGGAATCACTCCTAGTTGGCTCAGGGAGCCAGATGGGGTGCTAGGATAGAACTTGGATCTACCACGTGCACAGCAAGTGCTCTGCCCACTGTACTACTTCTGGCTCCTGGAAAGCCTTTTTTTTTTTCTTTTTCTTTTTTGGTCACACCTGGCGATGCACTCAGGAATAACTCCTGGCAGCACTCAGGGGACCATATGGGATGCTGGGAATCAAACCTGGGTAAACTGCATGCAAGGAAAATGTCCTACCCGCTGTGCTATCACTCCAGACCCCTGAAAAACTTTTGTACAAAAAAATGTACAAAGAATGAAAATAGAGCCTGGTGAATGGATATGATATCTGGGTATCAAATATCTTAAATAAAGGGCTAATAACATCCAAGACATTTAAAGAACTCACACAACCAGGGCCAGGGAGATAGCTCAGAGGTCTGTGCTTTACATACTCAAGTCCTTGCATTAGATCCCCGGCACCACAAAGATCCTAAGGAACACAATGTGTGACCTTGGAGGTCCCCAAACACTACTGGGTCTGAGCATCACAGAACTTACAGAGTTAAACACACACACACACACACACACACACGGGCAGATTTTGTCTTATGGGCCACACCCAGTGGTTCACAGAGCTTACTCCTGACTCTGTGCTCAGGGATCAGGTGGGACTCAGGGAACCATAATAAGGTGCCAGAGATTGAATCTTCGTTGGGTTCATGTAAGGCAAGCACTCTACCTGCTGTACCACTGCTCCAGTCTCCAGAGGGGGCAGATTTTCATAAACACTTCTTCAAAGAGGACATACATACAAAGAGGGCAAGCATATGAAAAATACTCATCATCATTTTTATCATTAGAGAAAAGCAAACTAGAACACCTCATGCCTGCATGAATCTTACCCCAAAGCAGCAATAAAACAACAGCTGGTGAATGTATGGAGAAAGAGAAGCTCTGATGTACTGTTAGTGGGACTGAGAACTGGTGTGACCATTTTGAAAAATGTTATTAAGTTTCCTCAAGAAGCTAAAAGACAGAGCCACCATAAGACATAGCAACCCTACTTTGGCTATCTGGATAATATGAAAATATAAATTCACTGTCACTGTCTTCCCGTTGTTCATCGATTTGCTCGAGTGGGCCCAGTAACATCTCCACTGTGATACTTGTTACTGGGTTTGGCATATCGAATATGCCACGGGGAGCTTGCCAGGCTTTGCCGTGAGGGCGAGATCTCTTGGTAGTTTGCTGGGTTCTCCAAGAGGGGCAGAGGAATCGAACCTGCGTCGGCCACATGCAAGGCAAACGCCCTACCCACTGTGTTATCGCTCCAACCCATGAATTCAAAAAGTTTTATTTATCCTGGTGGCCTTGTGGCAAGTAGTCTGCATTTAAACATGATGCTAGTGAGGTAATGAGTTTAATATATGGCAACAGCTTTCACATTCCCGTGATTCTAGCAATTCCGCTATCCGGATCCCTGGAACTACAACAAAATGTTCAATTTCCAGAGTACTACAACTAAGTGCATTACAACTGAAGTGTGTAACCCATGGGGAACATATGCAAGCACCGCAAACAAATATGCAACCCATGGTGAACAACATAGAATGTGACTTTTAGTCACTGTAGTAGCAAAAGGAGATGTGGAATACACTAAAAAAAATTTGGACATAACTTGTGCTTAGATGGGGATACTCTCCACACAGTGCTTAGGGGCCCTTCCTGGTGGTGTCTGGGGTACCACGCACCCAAGATGGAACCAAGATCTTCCACATGCAAACCAAGTAAACTTAGTCCTTGGCTTGTCTCCCTGGCCCAAAAATTAAAAAAAAAAAAGTGACAACTTTTCCAATGTTTACTGGGACATTATAATATCTAACGAAGCACCTAAAATCTCTATCTAGGGAACAGAAAGACAGGAAGTGCTTTAAATGTGGCTGATCCACATGCAAGGCAAAATACTTGATCCCTGTCACCCCATCTGATTTCCCAAGCACCATCAGCAGTGATCCCCAGTGCAGAGGCAGGAGTAAGTCCTGACCACAGTTGGATGTGGCCCCCAAACAGACTAAATATACATACACACATAACAGGGTTTGGGACAGTACTCAACATTCAGGTGTACATGCAAAATGAGTTTGAATTCTGGAACTATATGAACCTGCACCACCACGTGTAGCTTTAGAGGGCCCTAAGCAGCTCCATGGTGGCTCTAACACTGCAGGTCTCAAACAGGTCCACATCCTCAGGTGACAGCAGCTAGCTTAGTTTGTCCGGTGTCACCTGTGGGCCTCCTGAGAACTACTTAAAAGGCAAAAAAAGAAATAAAAAATTTAAGATAATGGGGGATACTGGTTTCTATTTTTAAAGATGAAATCATGCCATTTGCAATGGAAGGAACTTGAAGGAATTTTTTTTTCTTTTTGGGGTCACACTTGGCAAGTAACCCACGGGTTACTCCTGGCTCTGCACTCAGAATTAACCCCAGCGGTGCTCAGGGGAGCATATAGGATGCTGGGAACCGAACCCAGGTTGGACGCATCCAAGGCAAACGCCCTACCTGCTGTGCTATTGCTCCAGCCCCTTGAAGGAATTATATGAAATAAAAATAAATGAAAAGGGGGACATATTGGATGATTTCACCTGTATGTACAATGTAAAGGTAAAGGTAAAGGCCCTCCCATTGATCGTCGATTTGCTCGAGAGGGCCCAGTAACGTCTCCATTGGAGACTTTGTTGTTACTGTGTCTGGCATATCGAATATTCTCGGTAGCTTGCCGGGCTCTCCAAGAGGGGCGGAGGAATCGAACTCGGGTCGGCCATGTTGGCTGCGTGTAAGGCGAACGCCCTACCCGCTGTGCTATCGCTAAGGATATAAAAATAATGGACAAAACAGAAGACTAGTGAATAGTGATAACCGAACTGAGGTTACCTGAAGAGAATGAGTTGAAGAAGGAAGATGGGCGTGTAAGTGTGTTTATAAAAAATACTGAAGAAAGGGCTGGTTTAAAACATCATTTGTCATTCCCTGTAAGTATCACCTATACCAATTCCATGACCACTTTAAGTTCCTATTTCCCCATCTACAAAATAGTGGCAGGAAGTATATTGCTAGGTTCTGAACAACATTAAATGAGATAATAAACCATTACTGGCAGTACTGCACAGTAGTTAAGGATGAAGGTTTTGTGATCAGAGCACATGGGCTTGAATCCCAGCTTCTGGATGCTAGATGACCTTTATTCAAAATGCTAACCTATTTGTGAGGCTTTTCTTATCTTAAAAAAAAAGTAGTATCTATGTGCATGTGGTTATTATGAGGGTTAATAGGAGAATAAATGTAAGACAGGGCAAACAAATGTCTGAGATTTTGTTTGTATTTAATGAATATTGACTTTTGGGAATAAAAGTAAGTACAAAGTATATTGATGGTATCTCCATCACAGGAGGGAATTATGCAACTCTATTTTTTTTTTAAAGAAAAAGCTTGCTTTCTCTTTTTCTCTCCAAGCACATGCAGCAAAGAGGTACCATGTAAAGACTTAGTGAGAAGGTTATTGTTTATCTACCAGGAAGAGCACTGGAATCTGACCATGCCAGAACTCTGATCCTGAGCTTAAAGCCTTCTGAGTATGCAAAATGAGTTTCTGTTGTTTGAGTCACTACATCTGGTATTTTGCTATGGCAGCCTAAGCTAACATACTGGGTACGTATTTCTTAATGTGGGTCTTTTCCAATGTGAATTAGAGCATTTAAACAGATTTTTATAAAGATAAAAACAAAAATGCTTATTATTTTAAATAATTTCATTTACTGGCCAGGGATATAGCTCAGCAGCAGAGAGCTTGTTTTGCACGTGCGAGGCCCTGGACTCAATCCCCAGCACTACACATAGATGATAATTTTATTTTCTTCTTAGCAATATCCAGATATAAGTTGGAATAAGTAAAAGCTTTTGCTGCACAGATTTTCAGTGATTGTTATTATGAAGCTGCTACATATTTTTAAGATATAAGACAGAGGGCCTGGAGCAATAGCACAGCGGGTAGGGCATTTGCCTTGCACGCGGCCAACCCGGGTTGATTCCCAGCATCCCATATGCTCCCCTGAGCACCACCAGGAGTAATTCCTGAGTGCAGAGCCAGAAGTAGCCCCTGTGCATTGCCAGGTGTGACCCAAAAAGAAAAAAAAAAAAGAACTATCATGGGTTTTCTGCTATATTACATTATAGTCGACAAGAAATAGTACTAATAGGGCCAGAGTGAGAGTACATTAGATAGGGTGCTTGTTCTGTATGTGGCCAAGCCAGGTTCAATTCCTTGGCACAACATATGATTCCTGATCCCTGCCAAGAATGATCCTTGAGCACAGAGGTAGGATTAAGCCCTGAGCACCACTGGGTATGGGCCAAAAAAAGAAAAAAATATAGTACAGAGGAGTTAGTTGTGAGCTATACAAAGGAATTTTATTGTTTCTAAATTCATTCTTCAATCTATTTTGTTCAAAGCATCACAAATTACCAAAACAATGAACAGAGGCAAAAATCTACTCAAAGCAAGCATATGGACAAATAGTTCAATCCCCAGCACTATCTGGCAAGCTAGCTTGACAGCACTGATGTTTGAGATTCCTGAAGCTACAACAAAGTGTGATCTGGGGCATACTGCATCCAAGCGTGAGTCAACACAGCACAATTTAAGTGTGAGACCCTTTTCTTTAAGCAACATAATCAAGCGTGTAAGCCCTCATTCATTACAATAAAAAGGGGAGAATAATAACAATTATGTTTTTAAAAAGGTATAAATAATGACAAAATTCTAAAATACATTCTAAAATACTCAATCAAAATTTTTGTGTATAACCTGGAGCGATAGCACAGTGGGTAGGGCATCTGCCTTGTACACAGCCGACTCGGGTTCAATTCCTCTGCCTCTCTTGGAGAGCCCGGCAAGCTATCGAGAGTATCCTGCCAGCATGGCAAAGTCTGGCAAGCTCCCCGTGACATATTCGATATGCTAAAAACAATAACAACAAGTCTCACAATGGAGATGTTACTGGTGCCTGCTTGCGCAAACTGATGAACAACAGGAGGACAGTGTTACAGTTCTACCAATATCACTTGCATAGGTATTTAAAAAATTGTGCCATTAAAAACAAGTAAAGGTATATAAACCTAATTTTAACATATTTAATGCTTGCTTTGATTTTATAATTTTTATTTTTAATGAAACATACATATATTTATAAATTTTTAAAAGTCAAACAAATTTTATTAAGAAAACAGTACCGTTCATCCAGGGCTTCAGTAAAATGTCTTCTTGCTGAGTACTAAGATTCAAAGGTGGTACTGATAATAAGCACAGAGGTTTTGGGCCCACTGCTGCTAATTGACATTCACCAACCACAATCTCTGCATTTCTAGAATCTTTGCTGTATGAGTGAAAAAAAAAGCCAGATTTTAAATTTACTAAAAAAGCATTAAAGGAATTAGAATACAATAGAAAGACTAGGTATGCTAATTATCATACTATGCCTGAAAAGCTGTGCTTATTAAATGGCTCAAGTGAAGGAGGGGGTGGTGGGGATAAAAAAATTCAGTGAATTATTTTTGTTCAAGTCAGATGACTTTGAGGAGGAAATAGGTTATTAATATTCTAATCTAGGAGGTAGCTTGAGTCTGGCGCCTTAGACCACTCGGCCATCCTGACTCCCAGCGGTAGGGCATTTGCCTTGCACGCAGCCAACATGGCCGACCCGAGTTTGATTCCTCTACCCGACTCGGAGAGCCCGGCAAGCTACCGAGAGTATCTCACCCGCACGGCAGAGCCTGGCAAGCTCCCCGTGACGTATTCGATATGCCAAACACAGTAACAACAAAATCTCCAATGGAGATGTTACTGGGCCCGCTCGAGCAAATCTAGGAGGGATCAGAGCGACAGTACAGTAGGCAGAAGGTCTACCTTACATGCAACCAACCTGGGTTTCACCCCTGGCACTCCCGTATACCAAGAGTGATTCCTGAGTGCAGAACCAGGAGAAACCCCTGAGCATTGCTGGGTGTGACCGAAAAACAATAACAAAACAACATTTTTTTTAACCTAGAAAAGATCATCCAATTATTCTAATAAAAGTGCAATGAAATGATTTATAAATTATTCATCATGACAAGTATATATAATAGCTTTATGCATATTATTTGTGAGCTTCCTTTGGAAAGAAGGTATAAAATGTATTGTTTTAGGTTGCTGATTTAAACAGCTTTGACTATATTTCAACATTTGTGATCATATAAATCAATCCTGAAGTAACCTGCTTAAAACGAATAATAAGAGCGGTAGTGGTAAGCTTTTCAGAGATATATAAATTTACTTTTTAGGAGGAAAGATTTACCCATACTCAGATAAGCTTTTCAGTTGGGTTATTTGGGCTAGTAAAAACAAAAAACAGAGTGGCCCACAATTTTAACAGCTAAAATCTAGTACTTATTGGAATTTAAAAAATTACATAGAAAATACATTTATTGCTTTCTCCAACTTGGAATATCACTAATATCTGCAATCAAAAAAAAAAAACCCAACAACCACATACACAAACTACAAAAACAGTAACAAAATAGCAGCAACTGTGGAATTTTATAGATGGAAGATTATCTGTCACTGTCCTCCCAATGTTCATCGATTTGCTCAAGCGGGCCCAGTAACATTGTAAGACTTGTTACTGTGTATGGCATATCGAATACGTCACGGGTAGCTTGCTAGGCTTTACTGTGCGGGCGAGATACTCTCTGTACCTTGCCAGGCTCTCCGAGAGGAGTGGAGGAATCAAACTCAGGTCGACTGTGTCGGCCGCATGCAAGGCAAACGCCCTATCTGCTGTGCTATGGCTCCAGCCCCTAAGTTTATCTAGTAAAATTATTTTTGGTAGGAACAGTGAAGCCCAAAGTAAGGTAATGACTTGTCCAATATCACATTATTGGTTATTTGGCAGACACAAGGTGAATAAAACTACAATAATTTGTAAACTAAGTATTACCACTAAAAAAGTTAATCTTGAGTTTCTGGGCATATCCAATTCTTACCTCAATGTAATGGTTCTCAAACTTGAGCATGTATAAGAATAAACTTATCACCTTGTGAAAACACAGATTGGAGCACCCTATCTCCAGAGGTTTGATTCAGTAGCTGGGGTGGGTATGATAATTTGTATTACTGCTAAATTTCCATGTGGTGCTGCTGCATCAAGGATTACATTTCTAAGATCAATGTCAAAACATTAAAATACTTGAATATTATTTGGTACTTGAATTGAGTGTGTTGCCTTGCTTCAATGTAAAATGGGGGTGGAAGATGATCTGCTGATTTTCAAGGTACCTTTCAACTTCCTATTTAGTATTTGTATATGTTCCAGTACAATGGTTTTCAACCCTTTCAAACTTATGGATTGGCAATGGTGGTTGAAAATCACTGTTCTAGTGAGTGTACTGTAACTATTAATTATTAATCACTAAAGTCATATAAGATATCTAGAAATTCCAAAGTTGATCTGATTTTAGTCACTTCTCATAAATCTTATATACAGTCCTTGTAGTTTAATCATTACTTCTTTCTCAAAAATTAAAAAAAAATGACTCAAAAACTGTGTGATAGCTTTAAGATAATTTGTAATCTATTTATTTCCAGACATAGATACACCTCAGACATTAATACTCATGTATGGCTTAAGGCAGAGAAATCCAAGAATATACAGACAGACAGATGAGAATAAAAAATACACTCAACACAAATTTCATAAATACCTACTCTGAAGTTAAAAAAATTAAAAATTATATTCCAGAGGCGAGGGATGTGGCAGTGGCATAGTGCATACCCTGCATATATGTGAGGTCTGGTATTTGATATCTGGCACTGGATAAACTGTTTTGGGCCTTGGGATGTGGCTCAGCACTAGAGCATCTGCTTTGGAAGTGTGAGGCTCCGAGTTAGATTTGCAGACACTGCTGCAGCAGCACTGCCACTGGGATCCCTAGCGCCACACAAGTGTGTATGGTCTCTGGTGCATTCTAGTCTGTATGGGATGCATAGTCATTGCAACTGCAACAGAAAGGGAAAATCAAAGCAATTTAAAAAATGATGTCACTGACCTTTTGTAAACTTCATAATCATTTTCTTCTTTAACAGTCACCTTGTTTAAAATGCTACACTGTGAAGAGATTATGGTAAAAAGTAACATGTGAGCATCTCTGTATTTCATATTTAACTAGGAGGTTTACAAGATTTATTTAACTAGGAGTTAAACAACTAGTCTACACTCAACTAGAATACTTGACATTTAAAATACTGATATTAAATAAAAACTTCCCATGGGTTTAAGATAAATTAAAAATATTAATACAATTTTTTTCAGACAATGATTAATTACATTTATCTTTAATTACACAAGTCAACATTTCAAATTACTATGGACAATGTACATTTTTCCTTTCATTCAGAAAAACAGCTTGAGATAAATTTTATTTTTAGGGGGTCTTTATGAACATACATTATAATTTTTTATTAGAAATGCTGATATATATTTAAAATTTTGACTTATTTAAAACATTTAAGAAAAAAAGAAAAACATTCCATCATCACTGCTTTGGGAATTAAGATTTTCAAATATAAGAAAGTTACACATGCTCAAATATTCTAAAAAATGGCGCCTGAAAAAATAAAGCCCAAATCATTCATCATTTAAACAGTTAGATGTAACCACTTAATATTGTACTTTATATCTTTATACTATTTTTAGAAGTCACTGTCACTTTTCACTGTCCTGCTGTTCATCGATTTGCTCGAGCGGGCCCAGTAATGTCTCCATTTTTTTGAGACTTGTTGTTACTGTGTTTGGCATACTGAATATTGGTAGCTTGCCAGGCTCTGCTGTGCGGGCGAGATACTCTCGGTAGCTTGCCGGGCTCTCCAAGAAGGGCGGAGGAATTGAACCCAGCTCGGCCAGGCTGACTGCGCACAAGGCAAACACCTTACCACTGTGCTATCGCTCCACTCCATTTTTAGAAGTATATAGTCATATTTTGCAATAATGGAATATATTGTACATATTTACAGAAAGAAGCCTTAGGTAAACTACAAAAATCAATCAAGAAACAAAATATTAACTGAGTTTAGTATTATCACATTCCTGAATAAGAATATTAAAGGTATAGATAACTCTCCCAAATTAATTTAAACATTAAAAATAAAGTATGGCCTTAAAGTGCTATTTTTGATACTTTTAGAGCAAACCTTCCTTACTATTTTTATTATTTAATTGATAGTATGGTACTGATATAAGACCTGAGTGATCAATAAAACACAAAAGAAACAGTTACATTTATAAAAAAAAATTGAAAACATCAAACATTTGTGAGGAAATAATTCGATAAATGATAACAGAATAATAAGCAAATTAAACAGAAAAAAAGCTGGGTGCTAACTAAGCACATACCAAGATACCCTGGGGCCTAAGAAATAGTACAGCAGGTAGGGCAAGTGGTTAGGGACAACTCGGGTTAGATTCTTGTTCCCCTAAGCACTTTCTGGTGTGATCTCTGAGTACAGAGTCAGGAGTGACCCAAAACAATACCAGGTGTGGCCTCCAAACAAAATACCCTTTAGGTTTATAAATATTTAAATATTGAAAGTACCAAAAATTTAGCAAATTATAAAGATGGGTATTATAAATTTGGAGGCTGGAAAAAGTCTGCACATGAAATTAGAGGCAGAAACTATGAATTATGTTAATTTGTGGGGAGGTTGGAACACACTCAGTGGTGGTCAGGGCTTACTCCTGGCGTTGTGCTCAGGGATCACTCCTGGCAGGCTCAGGGGTCCAGATAGGGTGCTGTGGACTGAACCTGGGTCAGCCGTGTGCAAGATAACACTCTACCCACTGTACTATCTCTCCAGGCCCCATAATAACATTTTAAAATACAAACATTTAAGATACTTTCATATCCTAAAGAATACAAAAGTCACCTGCAAAATGAAAATAAAAGGTTAGTTTTTCTACATTCTTTTCCTCTTAGAATTTATATTGATAAAAATTATAAATATAGGGCTGGGGAGAAAGCCTCTCTGGTTAGAGACCCTGAGTACTGCATGGCCTGCTTCCTTTGCACTGTAGGATCTGGCTGGCCCCCAAACACTTTTTGGGCCTAGCACTGTTGAATCTAAGCACTGCCAGGTGTAGCTCCTATAAAATAACTAAATCAAATACAAAAGAAGAGGAGAAAATTTAAAAATCTTTAAATGGGGAACAGAATATAACTCTAGTATCATGAAAGAAAACTGAAAAGTTTTATTTCAACAAAATAAAAACAAAATGCTCCTTCAATGTAAATGTCTTAAAGTCAGAATAATATATGAAAAAGGGGAAAGTATGAAAACATATGACAAATATGTTTACTATATCAAAGTTCCTACCAAAAAAAATTATGACACAATCACTGCCATGCTCCTGGATGGACTCCACTGCTCAAATAAACCTCATCCAAAAATTAATGTGTTGAAAGACTCAGGTATGTGGATTTTGTGACTGCAATCTCTAGGCTTTCATGTAGTCGGGAGAGGGCTACTACCCCCATCACCCTGTACTTCTGGAAGCTCTGGGAGTCTCTCTCATGCCCCAAAGCTGCCACCCAGTTAAAAAATTTAACTCCAGCTGTATCACCCTATTGAAAATTTTGGACTTTCTGGAGTGACATCTCAAACTCTACAACATTGATAAACCAAAAGTAGCTCACCAGATTGGGTGATATGTAATGCAGAAAGCAACCAATCTTGATTAACAAAACATACAAAATATAAAACAGAAGGCATAACCTGTAGCAACATCTTTGTAATTTCTTATGCAAGAGCTTAATGGCTCCATGATAAGATACAACAATCTTCTCTAACTTTCTTCTAAGAAAGATTTTTTGATGATCCTTTTATAATTTTTTTAAATAACAAGCAATATAAAATGAATTATTGAGGTCCTGCTATGGGGGCAGGCTTCAGGGGTGGTTGGGAAAATTGGAAATTAGGGTGGTGCTAAGGTGCAATGGTAGTGAGATTGGTGTTTGAATATTGAATGTCTGTAAAAAAAAAATTCTTAAAGGGGGGCGGAATCCCATAAGATGGGCAAAAGACATAAAAATAAAGTTCACAAGAAAAAATGTAACTGCCATTTAAATGTACTAAAGATGCTTAATTAGATTCATAAGAGAAAAGCAAATTAAAACTAAACGTCATTTGCAAAAATAGACAGATGGACAAAATTTTTAATAGTGTGTGTGGGGGGAAAAAAACTGGCATTCTATACATGTTGTTGAAAGCATAAATCAAGGGAAACTATGTAGGCCAATCTGATCATTCTACTTCTAAGATTTAATCCAAAAAGTGCTCGCACATATGCAAAATGCCTTATGCTCAAGGATGCATGAGGCAACAATATTTAAATAGAAAAAAAGAGAATAAACTAAGTGTTTATCAATAGTGTGGCTTGGTGTACAGAGTATATTCCTACAGCGGCTAATTATGCAATTATGCAAACAAGGCATCATTACATAGCTTGAAAGGAAAGAATCTCCATAATATTTTAAGTATAGAAAGGATGGTGGAGAAGGGTACCCTGTGAAAAACTACATCAGTTCCAAACTGCAACAAAACACTTCAGTGATCACAGAATCCCAGTATGGCACAACAGAGGAAGTATACTGAAGAGGTGAGTCTCTGGAAACTTGTAGGAGAGATAAGAAGCCACAGGGAGTGGGAGAGGAGGCAAGAGGGTTTGCGGTCTGCACCTGAAGCTGCACTTCTGTGATCCCAGACACACAAGGCAATACCTTCCCCTTTCATACTGCCAGCACTACTAGACAAAGGCTTCCACTGTTTCCAAAAATGCATCTGAGTGCAGACCCAGAGTCAACGATTTGCTCCGTGGAGTAAGAAAAACTGGTTCGGTTAAGCTGGGCTTCCCCAACATCAGAACTGTGGGGCCAGAGTGAGGCACCAGGAACTGAACGCTTGGGGGCAGCACAGGTCTGTACTGTAAAGATGCAACATTAGCAACACAACCTCAGCCCCAAAGGCTGTGTGCAATTGAGAATGGGAACTCTAGATTGCCACTCAAACCAGTACAGAACCAGATCCTTGCCTGCCCCTTCCCTTCATAGAGCAGCTGACCTAATGAAGTGGAGACCAGATTAATGAAGATTGAACCTTGAGAGGTGCTCCTGAGGAGAAGACTGAAAATGACAATGATATGAATGTTCACTAAATTGAAGAACGCAGAAGAGACCTTTAACTATATATATATATGTATATATATATATGAAAATTGCAACCAGGAGTTACAGAAAGAGTAACACTGTGCCACCCAAATCAAATATCTGAGAATCAACAGAGATAAAAGAATTATCCAAAGAAAACTACAAATTGATAGATGAAGTAATAGATGAAGACATAAGGAACTAGAAACATATTCCTTGTTCATAGACTGGAAGAATTAACATGGCTAAAATGGCCATATTACCCAAAACACTACACAGAATCAATGCAATTCTCATCAGAATTCCAATGATACTATTAGGAACTTGGAACAAGTAATTATAAAATTTATATGAAGTAATAATATTCCCCAATTAGTCAAAGCAATCCTGAGGGGAAAAAGGCAGGTATTTTATTTTTAACTTTAAATTATACTATAAAGCTATGATAATCAAAACTGTGGTACCGAAAAGAAATTCAATCCCTATTTCTTCCTTACACCATACACAAAAATTAACTCAAAATGGATCAAAGACCCCAATCCATAAAATGACTTAAAGAAAACATAGCCACTCTCCATGATAATGACTTCGAGGTATCTTCAAGGGCTTGGTACCACTGGCTAAGAAAACAGAAGATAAAAGAATAAACAAAAGCACTACAAACTAAAATATTTCCATACTGCCAAGATAAGATGTTAAAAAAAAAAACTTTTTGACTAAATGAGAGAAAATATTCACTCACCATATATTTCACAAAGGCTAATAGCTGATATATAAAGCATTCACAAAAGAAAAACAAAAATAACAAACAACCCCATTAAAGTAATCAGGGTTGAAGAGATGTTTCCTCAAAGACATGAAAGAAGACCAAAAGGAATATGAAAAAGTGTTCATCATCACTTTTTGCATT